TGTTATTATTCTATGTTCTTTGGTACATTATTTAATTCAATAAAAATTATTTCATGCATTACTACCATTAGTATATAAAAAAAGGAGGGTTAAGTGCCATCGACAGCAAAAAAAAAAAAGACACTGGTAAGTACTTTATTTCTTGTTTTTCATGTATATTATTTCTTAATTATTATAAAAATAACTAAAATGTAATAATTGGGATCTCTTTAGGTTATATTAGGTAGGTAAAATAAATAATAATATAATAAAAATATTTCAAGAGGCATGCGTGCAAGCAGCTCAGAGTAGCTGGTGGGTAATGCAATTCGATAGTGTAACGTGAGCTACACGTTCCCCTAGTGATTTACAACTTATAATGGCATGAATAGTAGTTAGACACAGTTCAAAGTGCAATAAAACAATAAAAGTTAATTGAAAATAGATGTATACTGTTTAAAGCTACTTAGGATAAATGAATGTAGTTATTATATTTGAAGTCATTCTAGAGACAAAAAAAGTAATTTAGATTTTTTTTTTGGTGGTTACAAGGACAGTCAAATTGATCAATCTTGATTTGAGGTATGGTAGAGAAAATAACAGACAAAATATGAAGTTTTACTGAAACAAAAACACTTTAAATTCATGTAGGAGGTTTTAGATATTATACAAATGAAATTTGAGATTTTTGAGATGAAGAAAAGTATTTTTAATCTTAACATGAAAATCACTTTGCACATGAACTATTCAAAACAAATACTTGTTATATTCACAGACAAATTTTTTTTTTAGTTTATTAAAAATACTTCACTAAAATATGATTCTTTGTATGTAAAAGACTTAATGTTTACTGAAAGACTGACAAATTTCATGATGATATACACACTATATTAAAAGTTAGTAGCATCATATGTATAAAGACTGAGTGAAAAGAGGTCATGTAGTTGGTCAAATTGAACGAGTCCATATTGAGAGAGTTAAGGTAAAAAAACAAAAACTTTGATGTTGCTATAATCATCTTGAAATGATGTAAAACAAATCTGTGGTACAAAACACATCTTTTTTTCTTAATTGACAGATTTTAAAATAATGTATTTTTTAAAAACCCAATTAAGAATGTTTTATAGTTTCTTTTTTTTGGTGTAATAAAGTTCTGTCTAATATAGGTTCTAATTTGTTTTTAAATTCATATTTGTATTTAATTGGGCACGAGGAAGGCTGCACATGGAACTGAAAGCTTTCAAAAATAAACACTGCATATTATAAAAATATTTCTTCATTAATAACTGCAAGCTTAAGTAATGGGACTGACAGAACATACCGATTTTCTCCTAATCATCCAGATCAACCTAGCCGTTAAACGATCAATGTCGTGACAACCTGTACGTGTCAGTAAGAGCAGAGTAATAACAAGTTGGTGATATACATATAGACTGCTACATACAAATCTACAAATTAGCTAATTACAAGACATGAAGTATTGATCAACTTAGTGTTTTGGTAAAGAACAGAGAACAAATTACAGGTACTTATACAACATGTGTGCCTTACTGTGTAGTCCAGGGCACGAGTACTTGCACTATGTCTTATCTGACACACTAAATACTGTCATAGTAATTTGGAAAAATAATTGCTCTCCATAATTATAGTTCTACTGTACTTACTAACATGTGTTGTTTGTGATTCTTTCAGGCACTCCATATAAATAAATTCAATTTCTGAAAAATGTTTTTAGAAGACCCATGTCTAACAAAATAATCAGGTTTATAACACGAAACAGTAAATGAACTTAAAAAAAACTTACACAAATAACAGTACTTTCAGAATTTCCTACTTAAGTATCAGGAACAGATAATCTGTCTGACTTTAAAATTTGAAGACGATGACTTGGAGGTCGTACAGAAACGGGTTCTTTTTTTGCTTTGAGTCTAAAGTGTATAAGAATTAAAAAACACTTAACTTCAGCAGGTTATCATGGATTTTATTTATAATTTACTTATGGATACTGCAGTTATTAACCTCATGGCACTAGCCAGAAAAACAAATATTTGTACAAGATTTTATAGAACACCTTAATGACTAGAAGAATAAACCCATTGTTATTTAGAATAAACTTCAAAAAGACTGCTTTTCACTGCAATGATTGAGTTCTTAGTTTTCTAAATACACAATAATTATAATTAAATTATCAAAATCAAAGCAAAAAATGTAAGGCATATAAAAAAACAAAAAAAAAAAATGTTCTTTGTTAGATATACTTGACCACTTGTAAAAGCATGTTTGTATGCTCCAGTACCTTCAGACACAGTTTCACATTGTTTTATTTGCTGAAAAACTAAAAGCTTCAAAAACAACCAAAAAACTTTCATAATTTTTTGGTGTAAAATTAGCCACTATCTCAAATTTACCCTTTGTGATTGTATGAAAGTCTAAGTATGCATGTCATGAGAATAAGTTACAGGTACTTATACATGTGTGCCTTACTGTGTAGTTCAGGGCAAGAGTACTTGCATTATGTTCTTATCTGACGCAATTAAAATTGTCATCATAATTTGGAAAAAATAATTGCTCTCTATAATTACAGTTTTACTCTACTTAACAATCACAAGTAAGTGTGAAGAACAGCCTTGAAGAACCATATGGTCTCCTGATGTCTATCTTATATGGACCAAAATTAGTGTGCATTGCTTAGTTAGCTAAAAGAATCTATGCCAAAACAAAAAACTGATTCTGCAATTTTGTCTATTCTAAAACTGGTTTAATAATCACTTCACATTGTAAGGGGAAACTTGCATATAATTTTCCACTTATTAATAAAATAATTTAAATACTTAAAAATTAAAACAATTATAAATTATCTGTGCATTAGATTTAAAAACAATTCATCCAAATGCTAATACAAGAATACATAGTTTAAGCTATTAATTTAGCTTTAAGTGTAATAAATCAAGCCTAACAATATCTCTCTCACACAAACATCCTGCTTTTTCCTTCATTTTTGATATCTGATTAGTAATGTACTGAATACTCATTCTTACTTCAAACTTTTCTATCCTATTTTATGTTTTGTACAATAATGTTTGTAGATGTAAGAGAAGTTTATAAACTTTTACAAAACTGAAGTACATTTACAAAAGACAAGAGGCTTTTGTATAATTTTAGCATTCAAGGTAATCTTAAAAATGCCTGTAGGTCTCAGCATCAACCATAGAATATTTAATCAAAAATAAAAAAAATATTGCACTGGATGTACTATTAATGTTCTTATTACTTTTATTTTTTATACTCATTATATAGTACACATTTTATAATTTATAGTAACAATAATCCCAACACATACACTCACAACCAATCTCTTTCATTCACAAAATCTTTAATATGTGAAAATATATAAAATAACTACATACTTGAGCTTTTTAGTTTTCCTCTTTCCTTGAAGTTCTGGTAATCCCTCCTTGGCCTAAAAAAAATGAGTGCAATGAAGAAAAAGTTTATGATCTTAATTACAAATATAGTACATTTTACAAGCAATCAATGAAAAAAAAAGAATTTAATCATATGCATTATATTAGGTATTTGGTGCTTGGTTAAGAACTTAAAATCCCATTGAATCTTCTGTAGCTGGCTTGAGAATAACTTTGCAGAAACCAATAAATATAATAGAGAATTTCATTAAGTCAAAATTGACACTACAGGTCTGCCTGTGAGAAGCAGAAATTATTCATCAATAGGATGAAAAAACAAAGTTGTTGACCAACCTAGATTCAAGTGATATGGTGTGATCTCGCACCTTGAAGCCGGCCCATATACAGAAAGAAACAAATATGATCAATATGATTTACTGCATTATAAAGTATGATCATGCAAAACCAAAGTTAATTCATTCTCACAAGTCACTATTTCAATTGAATTTTAAACTGAAGAAGTGTCATGCAATATACAGAAAGTGGAGCTTGGCATTTATACACACACACACTTTTAAAAATACAAAGTTGAAACTTGTGTTATTAAAATTTGACCACATGAACATATTTTACTTGTATATAGTTTTAATACTATAACTTAATGCACTAATTGTATCTTCATAAAAGTAGTTTGTACACAAAAAATCACTTTTTGTTAATGAAGTATTTTTACTGAAGATTTGTCCGTGAATATTTAGTCTTTTTTTGACTAGTTCGAGTGCAAAATGATTTATGTTAAAATTAAAAATACTTTTCTTCAACTCAAAAATCTCAAATGTCACATTTGTAATCTTTTAAACCTCCTACATACATCTCATCCATTTCCTCTACCCTAACTGTATACAAGATTGGTCAAATCGACCAACCTCATAACCACCAAAAAAAAGAAAAAAATCGAAATTAATCTCAATTAATCTTTTTGTTTCTTTCTAGAATGGCTTCAAAATGTAACATGAAACCACATTTGTTTATCCTAAGTAGCTTTAATCTACAGTTTATCTATTAACCAAATATCCATCTCTTTTCACTCTTATTCCATTGTGGATTTTACAATGTTGCATGAATTCTTTGTTATTTAGGTCTATTCTTACGTGTACCGGGGACAATTGGGTACATTTAGGACATTCCTTTACAGCTGTTAATATTGTAACACGGTAAAATTTTATGTTTATTACTACACGAAGGTTATGGCTTGTACCTGGAGCACAAGTACAACATCTGACCCCTTCCAAAGCTGTATCTATATGGGTAATGCATTAGTATACGAAATTTCACTTTGTAAAGTGACAAGTTTACCTGCTAGTAGTAAATGACTTGTTCTTGTACATATAATATTAAGGGACAAATGAAAAAAAATCATGTACAGGCATTTTTCAAAATAGACAGTTTTGAGGAATCTATCAACTCAAATAGACAGTTGAAGACCTCGAGCCTGTTCACAAGTGCATTCAACATTGTAACAGGTTTTTGGTTTCCCACCAATTTACAAATGAGATCATATGAAAGAGAGAGCATGACGAACGAGAATAATATTCCCATCATCTTTGGGATTATAGTTTGCAGCATCTCTTTAGAGTCAATTTAAGAATCATTTAGGTGTATGGTTTCCACATAAATGGTTTGTTTGTTTGTAGTAAAGCACAAAGGGCCATCTACTTGTATAACAAGTTGTTTTTAAATATTTATAATGATTATTTTCCAAGATTTTAGAAAATCCAAAAAAAAGAAAGAAAAGTATGTTGCATATTGAGGGCACTTCGCAACTCCTGTATCCATTACTGACAGACACATGTTCAAAGATGTGGCGTAGCTCTTGCATGCTAGACAGATTGCCATTTTCGTGTCACATGCAGTTCTAGTTGCTCAATAATATTATACTTAAGGGATCATCTGAAATTGTGTATATGTCTCAGTAACTTATTTTCTGTAATAAATTTAGTCCTATCACAGATGACTAGGGCCACGTGTTTTCAGACTTTTTTTTTTTTTTAAACGCTGAATCCATTGTTGATGTTGGAATGCATACATTTTCTAATGCACGTCATTTATTTATTTTTGTTAGCATAGTGGGGCTATTTTTTCAGTTGGCCTGGAGCTGCAGCTCCACCAGCCCTCAACTTAATATAGCCCTGACCTGACCCAATGAGTCCCAACAGCAGGGGAATGAAGTACAGAGGGATACAGCAGAAAAAGAAGTAGAACAGGCCAACCAGGCAAATTGAATGGAACCAACATCTACAGAAACAAACCTGAGGAATGAAAAAAATGCCTCAGATAAAAAATGGACTTAGGAGAGATAATACAGGAGGGTAGAGAGGAAATGCCAAAATGGGGAACTAGAAAGTGAAATAGAAAGTAAAGGCGTATCATCCACACGTGTGATTATTCTTCAGGCGAGATTTGCCCGCCAATGTGGAACATCATGTTAGAAACTCGGAGATTATTATTAAGTGCGGTAGTAATTAATAGTAGGGGTTGAGATGAAATGAAATGGCGAGCACAAAAATCGCCCGTTTAAAACCACCTTTAAAATCTCTGAATCTTTTCTTGATTTAAAATCTTAATCTTTAAAATCGCCCGTTTAAAACCACCTTTAAAATCTCTGAATCTTTTCTTGATTTAAAATCTTAATCTTTAAAATCTCTGAAATCTTTTCTTGATTTCCTGTCATTAGTATCCAAGGATACTAATGACAGGAAATCAAGAAAAGGAAAAGAAGGAAGTCTACAAATCGGGACAAGAGTCATGAAGGTGAGAGGGGGAGGGAGCATTCAGGTGTGAGAAAGGAGCTATTACAGAAAGGAAACGGTATAAATCTAAAAGCAAGCCAGGAGAAAAGACAAGGTAAACCCCATTAATTATGGATCATGGAGTAAAAAATGAGAAATAAAGAACACAGGCAAAAGATAAGGAAAGGAACATACCCGAGAACAAAGATTTATAGGTTTAAAAAATAGGTTAAGGTTGTAGTCCAGTAGCTCATTCCAGCTGAAGAGAAAGAAATGTATCCAATATGACGGGAGTAGGAGGCCCAGTAAGCAAGTGATAAATCACAACTCATTGAACAATGGCTGCAACAACCCCAACAGATAACAAGCCTCCCAACAACAGAGTATAAATAAGGCCGAAGTGTGAACAATATCACCCACTCAGGACCAAGTATAAATTGCTGTCATTGCCAACCTGGTAACCATTTTGCTGTCATTAGTAAACATTACAGCTCTTTTGTACACACACACACACACACACACACACACACACACACACACA